CCCTTGTATAGAAGCCCTACAAACTTACCTCAGCACTAGTGAACACCTCTCCAGATGGATCGTAAAAACCTAACTGACCTCCATATGAACCAGCTACATGATCTATGTCAAATAAGGCAACAGTGGCACTTCCCCGCTCCCTCAAAAAACTTCTTAAATTACAAAGCTTGGCCTTGAAGCTAAGCAGGATGCCTTAAGCTGTACTGATCACAAATTATTTATGTTAATGGTTCTGTTCACCAATCCACTGGTGCAGCTGGTAGTGCTGCTGTTGTCATAAAGTGTGATGTGTGATGGCTCTCATAAGGAAGTTGGAGCACTCATCAATAACTGGGCCTCTACCCTTCAAACAGAACTGTTTGCCATACTCCTTGCACTCAAATATGTCCATATATCAAAGGCTGACACTCTAATTGTAACATATTCTTTATCATCAATAAATGCTCTCAACTCGTTAAGTATAAACTGTGGTATGCTCGTGTCAGAAGCCAAACGCAGGTATGGTAGGATTGTGGACAGTGGAGTTGGAGTGCACCTGTGAATTCCATCTTACATTGGTCTTCAGATGTCTGATAGAACTGATGAACTGGGAAAGTCAGCGAGCGAGCAGATTACAGTCTTGGACTGTCAGTTAACAGTTTGTGAATAATAATACGAAAAGAACTTCAATTGACTTAAGACTGAGGAAGATTTACACCAGTCAGTCCATCTATCATCATTCCTTCACGAAGGAGGAGCCACACTTCTATCATGCAGGAGGAGCCACATGTCTATCATGCAGGAAGAGCCACATGTTTATCATGCAGGAGGAGCCACATGTGTGTCATGCAGGAGCCACAGGTCTATGGTGTTTACCTGGAGTTTACCTGGAGAGAGTTCCGGGGTCAACGCCCCCGCGGCCCGGTCTGAGACCAGGCCTCCTGGTGGATCAGAGCCTGATCAACCAGGCTGTTGCTGCTGGCTGCACGCAAACCAACGTACGAGCCACAGCCCGGCTGATCCGGAACAGACTTTAGGTGCTTGTCCAGTGCCAGCTTGAAGACTGCCAGGGGTCTGTTGGTAATCCCCCTTATGTGTGCTGGGAGGCAGTTGAACAGTCTCGGGCCCCTGACACTTATTGTATGGTCTCTTAACGTGCTAGTGACACCCCTGCTTTTCATTGGGGGGATGGTGCATCGTCTGCCAAGTCTTTTGCTTTCGTAGTGAGTGATTTTCGTGTGCAAGTTCGGTACTAGTCCCTTCCAACAAAATAAGCAGACGCTTCGATGTCACTACCGCCCGACTCCTGCTGGGTTACAAGTATCTCTGGCTGGGTTACCAGTATGTCTAGCTGGGTTTTCAGTATCTTTGACTGGGTTACCAGTATCTCTGGCTAGATACCAGTATCTATGGCTGGGTTACCAATATCTCTAACTAGGCCATTATGTACCTCTGTAATGCTGAGGTACAGTCCCTGGACCATTTTGTACCTCTGTAATGTTCAGGTACAGTCCCTGGACCCATTATGTACCTCTGTAATGTTGAGGTACAGTCCCTGGACCCATTATGTACCTCTGTAATCTTTTGATTACCACCCAGAGGATTGGTATGGGGTGCATAATTAAGATATTAAACTAAAAAATAATTAACTGTACAGCAGTATTGTACGTACTGTACAGGGATATCGTACGTACTGTACAGGGATATTGTATGTACTGTACAGGAATATTGTACGTGCTGTACAGAAATTTTGTATGTACTGCACAGTAATATTGTATGTACTGCACAGTAATATTTCATGTACTGTACAGAAATATTGTATGTACTGTACAGAAATATTGTATGTACTGTACAGGAATATTGTATGTACTGTGGAAATAAATGGTATAAAATACCGACACAATGGAAATATAAACACAAATGCAGTATAATGTGATCCTTTATTGACAACGTTTCACCCACACAGTGGGCTTTTTCAAGTCACACACGGATCTACCTGGGGTTGGAAGGTACGAGAGTATTTATAGTCATGTTCAGAATGTTGAGGTCAGGTGGAGAATGCTGCATCTGATGATCTACCGGGTGGGGTTATAGAGTCTTGGGTAGCTTGGCAGGGGTATTGGACAAGTTGTAGACCTTCTGCAGTGTTCTATTATGTGGGATAGCGATGAAGAAGTTTCTTGGCGAGTGGTTCAGCTATGTTATAGAAGCCATTGTTCTGGTTGAAATTGTTGGTTATAGAGATAAGCGATGATTCCAGGATTCTTCTGTATTGAGTGTTGTCTTCGTTGGCTATAAGTCTTGAGTTTCTGTAGTTAATTAAATGGTTGTGTGAATTGCGATGTTGTACACAGGCATTCCTGGTATCGTCAGTCCTGCTTGCATATTGGTGTTCTGAAATGCGTGTTTGGAGGTCTCTTGATGTTTCGCCCACATATAATTTGTTGCAGTCATTACAAGGGATTATGTATACCCCTGCAGAGGATGGAGACTTGTCCTGTCTACTACTGGTGATGTCCTTGATGGTCGTGGTTGTGGAGGTAGATACTTGGAATGATGTTTTGGCAAAGATGTTGGAAACATGTTTGGCAATGGAGTTGTTGGGGAGGACTATGTATCTCTTCTCGGCAGTGTCTTCTCTGGGTGTGTTGAAGATGTTTAATGCCCGCCGTCTGCAGTCTCTGATGAAGTGACGAGGATAGTGGAGTTTAGAAAATACTTGTTCAATTATAGTGCATTCTTCCTCAAGGAACTCATTGCTGCAGATTCTGAGTGCACGTAGGAAGAAGCCTATAATCACACCACGTTTGGTTTTGGTGTCGTGGTGAGAGTAGAAGTGGAGAAGATCGTTTTGGTTGGTGGGTTTTCGATAGACTTTAAAACGAAGTTCGTGGTCAGCTTCGCCGCATTCTAAGGGGCTCAGAACAAGGGAAGAAACTTCTGCACACCATGCCCAGCAACCCCAGACCTGCCAGAATGTACGGCCTGCCAAAGACTCACAGTGCTCCCCACCAGCTCTCAGGAATTCTCGCCAAACACCTCTCTAAACTCTTGGTCACTATCAGTCCAGCACATCTCAAACACTCGGGTGATCTTCTCAATCGCATTCGCAACATCAACATCAGGAACAAGAAACTTTCCAGCCTTGACGTGACTTCCCTATTCACCAAAGTACCTACTACACAAGCCATCGATCTCTTGCGCAGGAAAATTGACGATTCACTTGATCTTCCCATTCCAGCCAGCGATTTCATCGACCTTGTTGAACTATGTGTTGGCTTTACGTGTTTCTCCTTCGAAAATCACCTCTTTCAGCAGACTTTTGGACTACCCATGGGTTCGCCACTCAGTGCAGTCCTGGCGAACTTATACATGGAACATCTAGAATCCGAACGTTTCTCCACCATTATTCCTTCGTCTGTCACCTGGCTCCGTTAAGTTGACGACATTCTCCTCATAACTCCTAAACGCTTCAACGTTCAAGCTCTCCAAGACAAGCTCAACCAGGTCGAGCCTTCAATCCAGTTCACACTTGAAGAAGAAGTCGACAACACTCTTCCTTTCCTTGATGTTCTGCTCTGCAAAGCTGACCACGAACTTCGTTTTAAAGTCTATCGAAAACCCACCAACCAAAACGATCTTCTCCACTTCTACTCTCACCACGACACCAAAACCAAACGTGGTGTGATTATAGGCTTCTTCCTACGTGCACTCAGAATCTGCAGCAATGAGTTCCTTGAGGAAGAATGCACTATAATTGAACAAGTATTTTCTAAACTCCACTATCCTCGTCACTTCATCAGAGACTGCAGACGGCGGGCATTAAACATCTTCAACACACCCAGAGAAGACACTGCCGAGAAGAGATACATAGTCCTCCCCAACAACTCCATTGCCAAACATGTTTCCAACATCTTTGCCAAAACATCATTCCAAGTATCTACCTCCACAACCACGACCATCAAGGACATCACCAGTAGTAGACAGGACAAGTCTCCATCCTCTGCAGGGGTATACATAATCCCTTGTAATGACTGCAACAAATTATATGTGGGCGAAACATCAAGAGACCTCCAAACACGCATTTCAGAACACCAATATGCAAGCAGGACTGACGATACCAGGAATGCCTGTGTACAACATCGCAATTCACACAACCATTTAATTAACTACAGAAACTCAAGACTTATAGCCAACGAAGACAACACTCAATACAGAAGAATCCTGGAATCATCGCTTATCTCTATAACCAACAATTTCAACCAGAACAATGGCTTCTATAACATAGCTGAACCACTCGCCAAGAAACTTCTTCATCGCTATCCCACATAATAGAACACTGCAGAAGGTCTACAACTTGTCCAATACCCCTGCCAAGCTACCCAAGACTCTATAACCCCACCCGGTAGATCATCAGATGCAGCATTCTCCACCTGACCTCAACATTCTGAACATGACTATAAATACTCTCGTACCTTCCAACCCCAGGTAGATCCGTGTGTGACTTGAAAAAGCCCACTGTGTGGGTGAAACGTTGTCAATAAAGGATCACATTATACTGCATTTGTGTTTATATTTCCATTGTATGTACTGTACTGGAATTTTGTATGTACTGTACAGGAATATTGTATGTATTGTACAGAAATATTGTATGTACTGTACAGGAATATTGTATCTACTGTACAGGAATATTTTGTGTACTATACAGTAATACAATAATATACATTAATATTTCCTCTTGTATGCGAGTAATGTATTGGAGAGGAATGTATTGGATGGTGAAGTAATTCCCCTGATTAAGAATGAGTCAATCAGAACCTGAGTGTCATTCACTACTTTATCATCGTATCTGATAATACTAGTTGCCGAGAATGGCAGGAAAATATACACTGAGTTGTGTATATCAGTACATATACACTGGTAGTTTACGTTAATTAGCATTTTAGGTATTAAGCTGCGTTTGACTGGTGATGAACAGACGGAATTAATGACCCTGGTGTGGCAGATAGACTTGAAACTCTCCCCAACCCAATAAAACCAAGCCAGCAACCCACTTGTGGCTTCACACTGATAACAAGTGGGTTGTTGTGGTACAGCGCTCCTGGAGAACCCACCTGCATCACAACACTCTCACAGTCTTACATAACTGTTTACTCTTGAAGAACACAGTCACACCTGGTAAGTTGTGTAAAAATCTACCTTATTTGGAATTATATGCAGTCAGCTCACTTATAAAGGGCCTTTATATGCAGTCAGCTAACTTGTAAAGCGCCTATATATGCAGTCAGCTCACTTGTAATGCGGCTTTATATGCAGTCAGCTCACTTGTAAAGCGCCTTTATATGCAGTCAGCTCACTTGTAATGCGGCTTTATATGCAGTCAGCTCACTTATAAAGGGCCTTTATATGCAGTGAGCTCACTTGTAAAGCGCCTTTATATGCAGTCAGCTCACTTACAAAGCGCCTTTATAGGCAGTCAGCTCACTTACAAAGCGCCTTTATATGCAGTCAGCTCACTTATAAAGGGCCTTTATATGCAGTCAGCTCACTTGTAAAGCGCCTTTATATGCAGTCAGCTCACTTGTAAAGCACCTTTATATGCAGTCAGCTCACTTATAAAGCGCCTTTATTTGCAGTCAGCTTTCTGGTAAAAGACTTTATGACTTTATATGCAGTTAGCTCTCTGGTAAGTTCCTTTATATGCAGCTCTTTAGTACAGCTCCTTTATATGCAGTCAGTTTTCTTGTGTAAAGCGCCTTTATATGCAGTCAGCTCTCTTGTAAAGCTCCTGTATATGCAATCAGCTCTCTTGTAAAGCGCCTTTATATGCAGTCAGTTCTCTGGTAAAGTTCCCTTATATGCAATGAGCTCCCTTGTAAAGTGACTTTATATGCAGTCAACTCTCTTGTAAAGCTCCTTTATATGCAATCATCTTTCTTGTAAAGCTAAATTATATGCAGTCAGCTCTCTTGTAAAGTTCCTCTACATGCATTCTGGCAGTTGTCCATTGTGGCACACACAGTGCCTCTGAGGCTTTACTGAAATGTATTACGTGGTCAGACCATCAGTAACCTCCTCCCAGTCTCTTGTACCGCTGCTGCCTCTCTCAGGACCCAGAGAAGATATATTACCTAGCCCCACAGTCTTCCTGGTGTCTAGTTCACTTAGCAACTTCTTCACCTCTTCTGGTATATGTATTGTGTACAGCACTCGCTGGTGCACTCACCCTATCACCCTTCCTGTCTCTGTGAATAACTTCTTAAAATTCTGGCTGAGCTCCTCACGGACTTGCTGGTCACTTCCTAGAGCTCTCCTTCCCTTCTTCCTTCCTTCCTTCTTATTACCTCGTGCTTCAGTTTTCTTCCTCCTGGTATGGCTGTGTAGCAACTTTGTCACAGATTTGCTTTTCACTGTTGTCGTTATTCTCAGACTGACGTTCATCCTCTCTTCTTATCCATGAATATTCTTTCCTGACTCTTCTCCTTACTTCTTCTCTTGTATTCTCTACGTCCTATATTTCTCCCTTGTTCTTGTACGCATAGTTGTTACCTCTCTGCGCTTCTTGGTTCACTCTGCATCTCTGGGTGAACCATGGTTCACTCTACACCTCTGGGTGAACCATGGTTCACTCTACACTTCTGGGTAAACCATGGGTTCACTCTCGACTTTCTACTTCGCCTTACCTGTATTCACCTTCACGTGGTTGCAGGGGTCGGGTCACAGTTCCTGGCCCCGCCTGTGTGGGTCAGCCCATGTAACATTAACCACCACTCTAATACATTACAGGGTAAGGATGGTGGTGGTGGTGGTGCTGACGGTGGTGGTGGTGGTGGTGACGGCGGTGCTAGCATATTCTAAGCACCATCTCAACTACTGGGCATCGCGTGGGGTTCCCACTGCCCCTGGGGCACTGCCCATCCTGGGTCACATGCCTAAGTTCATCTCCAAAAAGTACCCAAGATGGCTGTATGTTGACGAGGTGAGAGATTGTTGTTAGATGGGGATTGTGCCTTGAAACACCCCCAGAGATTGTTGTTAGGTGGTGATTGTGCCTTGAAACACCCCCAGAGATTGTTGTTAGGTTGTAATTGTGCCTTGAAATACCCACAGTGATTGCTGTTAGGTGGTGATTGTGCCTTGAAACACCCCCAGAGATTGTTGTTAGGTTGTAATTGTGCCTTGAAATACCCACAGTGATTGCTGTTAGGTGGTGATTGTGCCTTGAAACTCCCCCAGAGATTGTTGTTAAGTTGTGATTGTGTCTTCAAACAAACCAGAGATTGTTTGGTTGATGATGGTATGTCCCCTGAAACACCCCCGGAGATTATTTAGTGATGATTTTGTGCCTCTGCAACACCAGAGATTGGCTGTGATTTTGTCTTGAAACACTCCAGAGATTGTTGTTAAGACGTGTTTGTGCCCTGAAACACCCCAGAGATTGTTGTTACGACGTGTTTGTGACCTGAAACACCCCAGAAATTGTTTGGGTGGTGATTGTCCGCTACTGAGACATCCCAGATATTGTTCAATGATGATTTTGTTCCTCTGGAATACATCAAAGATTGTTGTTAGGCTGTGATTGTGCCTTGAAACACTCCAGAGATTGTTGTTAACGTGTGATTGTGTCTTGAAACACCCAAGAGATTGTTTGGTTGGTGATTGTGTGCCCTTGAGACACCCCATATATTGTTTGGTGGTGATTGTATGCTTCCTGAAATACCCCCAGAGATTGTCGTCAGATTGTGATTGTGTCCTGAAACATCTAAAGAATTGTGGATTGTGTTTAATAATAGTTGTGATTGTGATTGTGTTTAATTATAGTTATCAGAAGTAGTTATTATCTTATAAAAACCTGCATAACCTTGGCTTCGAGAGTTTATTATAAGATAAATAAAGAGATATATCAGAAAATGTTTGAATTATGCATTTTGGCACAAGTTTCTTATTTTTTTAATGTTTCACGTATTTTAAAATATATGTACATGTACAACAAATAAGTATAAGTATAAATGAAAAAACGGAAATAAATATAGGGAATGTAAATAATGTCCTAAAAAAATATTTAACCAAGACAGGACTCGCAACAATGGTTTCAGGTTGGAAATATTTAGATTAAAAAAAGATATAGGAAAGCGCTGGTTTGGTAATAGAGTTGTGGATGAGTGGAACAAACTCCCAAGTAGCATCACTGAGGCTAAAAACCTTCTGTAGCTTAAAAAATAGGTAAGCTAAATACATGAATGGGTGTGGGTGGGTGTGAATTGGACCTGTCTCGCATGGGCCAGTAGGCCTCGTTCAGTGCTTCTTCTTTCTTGTGTTCAACTCAGTGTGTGGGTTCTATTAGTTGTTGAAGCCCAGACTGGTGACTGCGGAACCTAAACTATGTTTGTGTTGACAGGTTTACAGGAGCCTCGGGAGTTCAACTGTGTGTGGGTTCTACGAGATGCTGAAACCCACGCTGATGATTGCTGACCCTGAGCTTGTCAAAGCTGTACTGATTAAGGACTTCGATCACTTCGTCGACCGTCGAATCTTCAACTTTACCTCAGACAAGGATGAGATCCTCAATGAGATGCTGACACAAGCCTCAGGAACCCACTGGAAAGGCATCCGCTCCGTGCTGTCTCCTACCTTCACATCCGGTCGGATGAAGGGAATGTATCCACTCGTGGAGAAGAAGGCTGACGCTCTGTTGGATTACATACACAGAGAATTGAAGACCAAAACATCCATCAAGCTGAAAAAATGTTTTGGTCTCTACACCCTAGAGGTCATCTCATCCTGTGCCTTTGGCATGGACACGAACTCACTCAAAGTCGGCCATTCCACATTCAACACACAGGTGGAAAACATTTTCAAGACCAGCACACTCAGAATGATCAAAGTCATATTCTTCTTCTGCTTCCCCAAGCTCAGCAGCATCCTGAAGATGAGCTTCGCCCAGCCTGAGGTACTCTTCTTCGAGAAAGTGGTAACAGAGACCATTAAACAGCGTGAAGCAGGAGAGAAGAGAGGAGATTTCTTGGACATCATGATGGAGTCTAGAGACGACCAGAGTGACCCTAACTCCAAGACTTCTAAATATCGTAATGTATCAACTGCTGTCTGGTTTATCTTCTTGTGGAATATTGATAGTGCAGTGGTTCAGAGTCTACCACACTTTGGGGACAGCAGTGGTTCCCGAGTCTACCACACTGGTGACAGCAGTGGGTTCAGAGTCTACCACACTGGTGGGCAGCAGTGGTTCAGGTCTTTCACCACACTGGTGACAGCAGTGGTTCAGAGTTCTACCACACTGGTGACAGCAGTGGTTCAGAGTCCACCAAAACTGGTGACGCAGTGGTTCAGAGTCTACCACATTGGTGACAGCTGTGTCTCAGAGTCTACCACACTGGTGACAGCAGTGGTTCAGAGTCCACCACACTGGTGACAGCAGTGGTTCAGGGGTCTACCACATTGGTGACAGCTGTGTCTCAGAGTCTACCACACTGGTGACAGCGTGGTTCAGAGTCTACCACACTGGTGGACAGCAGTGGTTTCAGAGTCTACCACACTGGTGACAGCAGCGGTTCAGAGTCTCCACACAGGTGACAGCAGTGGTTCTGAGTCTACCACCTGGTGAAAAGCAGTGGTTCAGTGTCTACCCACTGGTGACAGCAGTGGTTCTGAGTCTACCACACTGGTGACAGCAGTGGTTCAGTGTCTACCACACTGGTGACAGCAGTGGTTCAGAGTCTACCACACTGGTGACGCAGTGGTTCAGAGTCTACCACATTGGTGACAGCAGTGGTTCAGGTTACCACACTGGTGACAGCAGTGGTTCAGAGTCTACCACATTGGTGACGGGTGTGGCTCAGAGTCTACCACATTGGTGACAGCAGTGGTTCAGAGTCTACCACATGGTGACAGCAGCGGTTCAGAGTCTACCACACAGGTGACAGCAGTGGTTCTGGTCTACCAACACTGGTGACAAAAGTGGTTCAGGTCTAACCACACTGGTGACAGCGTGGTTCAGAGTCTACCACACTGGTGACAGCAGTGGCTTAGAGTCTACCACACTGGTGACAACAGTGGTTCAGAGTCTACCACACTGTTGACAGAAGTGGTTCAGAGTCTACCACCAGGTGACAGCAGTGGTTCTGAGTCTACCACACTGGTGACAGCAGTGGTTCAGGGGTCCCACCCAATGGTGACAGCATTGGTTCAGAGTCTACCACACTGGTGACAGGAGTGGCTTAGAGTCTACCACACTTGTGAAAGCAGTGGTTCAGAGTCTACCACACTGGTGACAGCAGTGGCTCAGAGTCTACCACATGGTGACAGAGAGGTTCAGAGTCTACCACACTGGTGACAGCAGGGTTCAGGGTCTACCACACTGGTGACAGCAGTGGCTCGAGTTCTACCACACTGGTGGACAGCAGAGGTTCAGAGCCTACCACACTGGTGACAGCAGTGGTTCAGAGTTAAACCCCCACTGGTGACAGCAGTGGTTTAGAATCTACCACACTGGTGACAGCAGAGGTCAGAGTCTACCACACTGGTGACGCAGTGGTCAGAGTTTTTCCACACTGGTGACAGCAGTGGTTCAGAGTCTACCAAAACTGGTGACAGCGTGGTTCAGAGTCTAGCACCCCTGGTGACGCAGTGGCTCAGAGTCTACCACACTGATGACAGCAGTGGATCAGAGTCTACCACATGGTGACAGCAGTGGTCAGAGTCCCCCACACTGGTGGGCAGCAAATTGGTTCAGAGTCTACCACACTGGTGACAGCAGTGGTTCAGAGTCTACCACACTGGTGACAGCAGTGGTTCAGAGTTACCACCCCTGGGGACAGCAGTGGTTCAGAGTCTACCACACTGGTGACAGCAGTGGTTCAGAGTCTATCACACTGATGACAGCAGTGGTTCAGAGTCCACCAAAACTGGTGACAGCAGTGGTTTTAGAGTCTACCACATTGGTGACAGCTGTGTCTCAGAGTCTACCACACTGGTGACAGCATTTGGGTTTAGGTCCACCACACTGGTGACAGCAGTGGGTTGAGTCTCCACATTGGTGACAGCTGTGTTCCAGAGTTACCACACTGGTGACAGCAGTGGTTCAGAGTCTACCACACTGGTGACAGCAGTGGTTCAGAGTTTTACCACACTGGTGGAAAGCAGCGGTTTAGGTCTACCACACAGGTGACAGCAGTGGTTCTGAGTCTACCCCAATGGTGACAGCAGTGGTTCAGTGTCTACCACATGGTGACAGCAGTGGTTCTGAGTCTACCACACTGGTGACAGCAGTGGTTCAGTGTCTTTCCACACTGGTGACGCAGTGGTTCAGAGTCTACCACACTGGTGACAGCAGTGGTTCAGAGTCTACCACATTGGGGACAGCAGTGGTTCAGAGTCTACCACACTGGTGACAGCAGTGGTTCAGAGTCTCCACATTGGTGACAGCTGTGGCTCAGAGTCTAACCACACTGGTGACAGCAGTGGTTCAGATCTACCCACTGTGACAGCAGCGGTTCAGAGTCTACCACACAGGTGCAGCAGTGGTTCTGAGTCTACCACACTGGTGACAACAGTGGTTCGAGTCTAACACAAATTGGTGACAGCAGTGGTTCGAGTCTACCACACTGGTGACAGCAGTGGCTTAGAGTCTACCACACTGGTGACAACAGTGGTTCAGAGTCTACCACACTGTTGACAGAAGTGGTTTAGAGTCTACCACACAGGTGACGCAGTGGTTCTGAGTCTACCACATGGTGACAGCAGTGGTTCAGAGTCTACCACACTGGTGACAGCATTGGTTCAGAGTCTACCACACTGGTGACAGGAGTGGCTTAGAGTCTACCACACTTGTGAAAGCAGTGGTTCAGAGTCTACCACACTGGTGACAGCAGTGGCTCAGAGTCTACCACACTGGTGACAGCAGAGGTTCAGAGTCTACCACACTGGTGACAGCAGTGGTTCAGAGTCTACCACACTGGTGACAGCAGTGGCTCAGAGTCTACCACACTGGTGACAGCAGAGGTTCAGAGCCTACCACACTGGTGACAGCAGTGGTTCAGAGTCTACCACACTGGTGACAGCAGTGGTTTAGAATCTACCACACTGGTGACAGCAGAGGCTCAGAGTCTACCACACTGGTGACAGCAGTGGTTCAGAGTCTTCCACACTGGTGACAGCAGTGGTTCAGAGTCTACCACACTGGTGACAGCAGTGGTTCAGAGTCTAGCACACTGGTGACAGGGAGTGGCTCAGAGTCTACCACACGGGTGACAGCAGTGGATCGAGTCTACCACCTTTGGTGACAGCAGTGGGTCAGAGTTCCCCCACACTGGTGACAGCAGTGGTTCAGGTCTACCACACTGGTGACGCAGTGGTTCAGAGTCTACCACACTGGTGACAGCAGTGGTTCAGAGTCTCCACACTGGTGACAGCGTGGTCAGAGTCTACCCACTGGTGACAGCAGTGGGTTTAGAGTCTATCACACTGATGACAGCAGTGGCTCAGAGTCTACTACACTGGTGACAGCAGTGTTCAAAAGTCTACCACACTGGTGACAGCAGTGGTCAGAGTCTACCACCCTGGTGACAGCAGTGGTTCAGAGTCTACCACACTAGTGACAGCAGTGGTTCAGAGTCTACCACACTGGTGACAGCAGTGGTTCAGAGCCTACTACACTGGTGACAGCAGTGACTCAGAGTCTACCACACTGGTGACAGCTGTAGCTCATAGTCTACCACACTGGTGACAGCAGTGGCTCATAGTCTAGCACACTGGTGACAGCAGTGGCTCAGAGTCTGCCACACAGGTGACAGCAGTGGTTAAGAGTCTACCACACACTGGTGACAGCAGTGGTTCAGAGTCTACCACACTGGTGACAGCAGTGGTTCAGAGTCTACCACACAGGTGACAGCAGTGGTTCAGAGTCTACCGCACTGGTGACAACAGTGACTCAGAGTCTACCACACAGGTGACAGCAGAGGTTCATAGTTTGCCACACTGGTGGCAGCAGCTGCTCAGAGTCTACCACACTGGTGACAGCAGTGGCTCAGAATCTACCACACAGGTGACAGCAGGCTCAGAGTCCCCACCACCTGGGCGCATCCTGATCTTTACACAGGTGACAGCAGGGGCTTCTGAGTCTACCACACCTGGTGACAGCAGGGGGGCTCAGAGTCTTACCACACTGGTGACAGCAGTGGCTCAGAGTCTACCACACTGGTGACAGCAGCGGTTCAGAGTCTACCACACTGGAGGACAGCTGTGGCTCAGAGTCTACCACACTGGTGACAGCTGTGGCTCAGAGTCTACCACACTGGTGAGAGCAGTGGTTCAGGGTCTACCCACTGGTGACAGCTGTGGCTCAGAGTCTCCACACAGGTGACAGCAGTGGCTCGATTACCACACAGGTGACAGCAGGGCTCAGAGTCTACCACACTGGTGACAGCAGTGGCTCAGAGTCTCCATATGGTGACAGCAGTGGTTCAGAGTCTACCACACTGTTGACGCAGTGGTTCAGGCCTACCCGCTTGTGACAGCAGTGGGTTTAGAGGGCTAAACCCCATGGTGACAGCTGTGGCTCAGTTACCACACTGGTGACAGCGTATCTCAGAGTCTCCACACTGGTGACAGCAGTGGCTCAGAATCTACCACACAGGTGACAGCAGTGGGTTTAGAGTCACCACACTGGTGACAGCTGTGGCTCAGTTCCACATGGTGACAGTAGTATCTCAGAGTTTACCACACTAGTGACAGCAGTGGCTCATAGTCTACCACACATGGCGACAGCAGTGGCTCAGATTCTACACACTAGTGACAGCAGTCGTGTGAAGTCCCACCACACTGGTGATAGGGGGTGGTTCAGAGTCTACCACATTTGGACAGCAGTAGTTCGAAATGTACCACATGGTGGGCAGCAGTGGTTTAGAGGGCTACCACACTGGTGACAGCAGTCGTGTGAAGTCTACCACATGGTGATAGAGGTGGTTCAGAGTCTAACCACACTGGTGACAGCAGTGGTTCAGAGTCTACCACACTGGTGACAGCAGTCGTGTGAAGTCTACCACACTGGTGATAGAGGTGGTTCACAGTC